CTTTCCAGCCACTTCCCCCAGCCTGTAGCACTGCGTGGGGTTATTGTGGCCCAAGTGCGGGACCCGGCACTTGTTGAACCTCACACAGTTGGCCTCGGCCCATCGATCCAGCCTGTCCAGGTCCCTCTATATGTGCAAACACACACCTGTAATACTTAACAGTAACAATTGATAGAAGTACATTTGCTTTCCGGGTGGTGTACAGAAAAGTAAAGGCTCCTGTGGTCTCTCATAGAGGATTTACATTATTCACTCAAAGACATTATAAAATGCCTTTAAATGCACATGCAAGAGCTGTCATCACTTTAAAGACAGATCAAAAAAGACTGAAAAGGGTTTAGACATTCAATAACTAATCCCTTTCTCCTCACTGTAGGAACTTTGTTTATACCTTGAAAAATCATAAAAGGTTCGATTTTGAAACTCACCGCCCAGAATTAGTCACGGTGGAGGAATTTCGCTCTGGAAGCTATCTTGGCCAGCACATACACCCTTCTGCTAGCCTGCCTGAGTGTAAATTGACTCAAGACATTCCCCAGTCAGCAGGACAAAGTGCTACAGGCCACTATCTGATTGCGATAAAGAGAAGAGATTTCTTAGCTCAAGGCAGCAGGAGAGACGTAGCTGAAGGATTACTGGAAAGCTTCACATTTTCCTTCCCTTTACTTTGTTCTTAAAGTCTTCAAGGGATGATTGCCTCTTCCGAAAGGGACGGATGGTGTTACATCAACTGGTGATGGCAGATATGGCCAAGTTTGGTTCCAGCTCAAAGTCGCTCAAAGTATTATGAAAGATCTCCAGCAGAAATGCTTTACATATAGCAATGTCCAGATTCAAGACAAACTAGCATACAAGAACTATCATGAGTTGCTGTGATACCTGGCTGAACACAGACCAACATGGAAAGGCTCAGTCCTTTTCGAGGATTCCTTCATTACAGATTTGTCGGTAGAGAGGTGTCAAGAAAATACAATTCCCTCTTTATTTCAGAATAATTTTGAACTAAGCCCACAGTGACCTCATCCTGCCCCTCTAACAAGAAGAGGGCACAGCCTCCAGAAGCTCTAGAGGCCTCATTCTTTAACACCCATTCACTGAAAACAAGCTTCTATCTTAAAAAGATGGTTATTCAAAACGCCAACAGAATCTGGAATATACATAGAATTGGTAAGCAGAATCACAATGATAAGTAAATGCCACCAGATCATTTAAAATATTTCTCAGCAACAAGAAAGTCTAAAATTCACAGCTGTGTCCCGTCTTTTTTCCTTTAGACTAAAGAGATGTAAGAAGTTATGATTTAGAATTATAGGCATATATTTCACTTATCCAGCTGGCTTTAGAAACAGGCATCTGTGGTTTCCTCCCAGAGTACATACATACCTAGGAAATTGTATACGTTTAATACACATGAGCAAAAATTTAATTTGTGCCACTTAACGGGCACAAGTCTAAATGAGCTCACCCAGATCCCTAACACAGGCTAGCAGTGGCAGCACGGAGTCTCACGTGGGCTGATTTACCCCGCCAAAGATCACCCTTCCAAACCAGAGATCAGGTATCTCCATCCTGCCTTCCAAGACACACATTTTCCTTCATGGTTTTCAAGAGTGATATCTGCATTTCCCCTCCGTGAGATGTAAAGTGTTCAAATAATGTCTCAGTTAGTACTGAAACAGTTACTATTATTTTCCAAGACAGGATTAGCTTGGGTTTTGTTTGGGTTTTTTTTAATTGGCTTTTTTTTGTTTTTAAATAAGCGCTGAGAAAGGTGAAAATTACTGAATTGTAGCCAATTCATTAACACTCCATAGCGTTATGAAAGGCAGAAGGTGTTGCCAGGTGTACACTCATAAGCAACAGTAATTTATGGTGTAAGCAAACATAGATGGAAAAGTCTACTTAGATAATTAGTGTTCATGCAGGGAGACTTCTGGGCTTCGCCCTCTACTAACACAAATGTTGGAAAAATTGACACTTTCTACAGTAAATCTAGCTAGAGAGGAAAGGAGAATATGGCTTGTCCTCCTCTGCACTGGAAAACATTTTTTTTGTACCAAGCAGGATCTAAGTCAACAGAGCACACGAAGCAATATACACCCTGCCTCCATCACGGCATCGCAAAACACGGCACCCCGAAAATACCGCAATCGCTGGGGTAAGGCAGCGGTGCGGTACCGGGGAGGCAGCCTCCAGGACTCAGTCTTGAGCTTACTGCGTCGTCTAGAAAAGTCAGTTAACTTCTGTCTTAATTACCATTACAACTTGCTCTGAGCTCCTCCGCACCAGTGCTAGGCTGGGGCTTACAACCGTGACACAAGGTGACTAACTGGGAAACTTCTCACCGTTGGAGAGAAGCTGCTGAGGTGTCGCGTGGGTGAGGAAGCCACTGACAGACAGTCTGCAGAAGAGGTTACGGTAACTCAGAAATGTGGGGCAGGATGGCAAGGGTGGTGCTTGAACAGCAGTTTGCTGCCAATGTCACACGCTCCCATCTCCCATGAGGAGCGGGATAAGGCGACCGAATCCTGACTTCTGACCTGACCTAGGCAGATACCAGGAGGTTAAAGGTCCATGCACTAACCCAGAGCTAGCTGGCCTCCCTAAAACTCTCTCTTAATCAGTAACCACCAATTTAGAATGAAACATCTAATCTGAAGCTCTTTAAAATTCAAACAAACCCTTGTAAGTAATTGCTGTTACTTTCCCTCAAATTCTGCTTCCCATTTCAGTTTCACAGACCATAAACTCTATAGAAAATAATAACTTTTGACTTCCAACCCTTCCTTTATTAAACTGCCTACAATTACCAGAGTGGATGGTCATGTTTTTAACAACGCAGCTGAAAATGAATAGAGCAAAATAGTCTTACTTTGCTTTGCAAAGTCAGTCTTTAGTTTTCCAAATAAGTCTCTATAAATAATCCTTAGCTGCACTGCTATGCTACAAGTTTGAATTTGAGAAAAAAAAAAAAATAGAATTAGTACTCTGTAACTGCCAAAGAAACCACCCACCCTTCCCCAGAAGAAAACAATTATTTTTTTTGCTTCTACATTTGATCCAAGGCCATTAAAAGATTTTCTGTTGACTTCAGCAAGTTTGGGGGTTTTGTTTTGTTTTTTTTACAGCCTTGGTCAAGAACAGAAATTGCAAAATCACATCATGAGAATGTACCTTATATCCACCAATACGATGCTCTTGTTTAAACTCTTTCCCATTTTTCAGCCATCGCATGGTCGGTGTTGGGTTTCCCATCGCCGGACAACGAAACTTGACGGTGTTCGCTGCTGGCACTGCGTGTAGCCTTTTCTCCATTTTGTCCGTATGTGTCCAATAGGGTGCCCCTGTTCCAAAGAGATACATCCGGAAATATCAGTACTCGGAAACGGAGCTCCCTTTCCAGCCCCTTCCAAAGACATAAAGTGCTGCACGTATTTGTTTTAGCAGAGACAGCGTGGTTTAGAAAGAGTACATGACTGGAAATCATACGCCACAAGTGCTGACCAGAGTTTTGCAAACGGCTCAGTCTGCAGCCTCAGTATTATGACAGAATTCCAATAATTAACCACAGATATCTTTTGTTTTGTGTATGTCAAGTAAGACAGAGGGACCAAGTTTTCAGCAGACTCAAATGATCAGACGCTTTCGACCTCAAGTTGAGTTACTGTGAGCACTCAGCAAACTTTGAATTCTCGGACCCCAGCTCTGAAGCCAGACAGACCAAGTCAGAAGACCTGTTGGAAGTCTCAGCCTTAACCTTTCCCCATCTGTTAGAAGAGGGATAAACATACCTACCTGCCTGGCCGTGCGCTAAAACTTACAGTGTACCACAGCAGTGCGAGCTGTGCTGTTACTGTCATAGAAACCACTAAAATGTAGTGGAGGTCCAGCAACACTCAGCAATAGCGTTGACCGTTTTGCAGGGATTTCCCACTCTTGTGAGCCCAAACGTTCACTGATGTCCAGCGCCGCGGCACAAAACAAGAGCGTCTCTCTCTGAGCCCGTATTTACTGGAGTGATCGCTGATACCAGCGCCGGGCAAGGCTCTCCTGGCTCTCACTCACTCCTCCCCATGCCCTGGCCCAGCCTGTGCCCACACAAGGAGCACGTGGAAAACCCCCCTCTTGTCCAGGTTCTCAATCATTTGTCACGTACCGGTACAGCAAACACAGCAGAACAAAACATACAACTACCCATCTGTTTTTACCCTCCAAGAAGTAAATGTGGATAGATAGATCCATATACAAGGTTATCCCATGCTCTGGATGCACGCACCGCTTTGGCTACATCGCACAGCGTCTTCATGGCATTGCTTCACTTGTCTCACCGTAACAGTTTTTAAAAAGTTAAAGATTCAAGATCTGTTTAATAGTAGGAAACATTAATTTCTTTTACAATGGAGTTTTCCTGAAGCAAATCAGATTAGCGTGGAATTTTTAGGACTAGAGGGGTCCAGAAAAATAACTCTATTTCTCTCAGCCCTGTTTCATTTCCTTCATTAGCAGCCTAACACTCCACTATAAATAAACTCTTCCGTTTCTCAAATATTTATAGCAGTTCTTACAATCAGTGCAAACTCAGAAATCCTGCCACCCGCCTCTCTAAATAAAAATACAGCTGGATAGAAAATACAGGAATAAATCCTTTAACAACGTCTCTCTCAGTATAAAGAAAACATTCCAAAAGCAAGTCTTATAATGATGCTAAGAACGATAAGTGATTATTTTTTTTGCCCGAAGTGGCAATTAGTGTTAAAATTAATGAAGTAGAAAAGCAAAGCAAATTTGTGCATGTAATCAAAATAGAAAATCAGGTAACTATTGAAAATTTAACTGCAACACTAAGAAATTGTTCACAGACTAGAGTGAATTAGGGATGCAAGGAAAATCACTGTTAACATTATTTGCTAAAACCAGGATCACATTAAAATAACAGAAGACTTTAAACAAAGCCAACCAAATGAATTAACTACTACATGCAAAGACCAAATTACATTACAAGTATACCAGGCAAGGGCAGAATTACACGTTGGTACTGATAGATTAAAAGGCTATTTTCTCTGGATTGCTAAACATCTTCCACAAGGCAATGTAAGGTGACCAATATTGGGCCCTACCCACAACTCCCACAAAGTCAAAGTAAACTGCGGCAGGTCAAAGCCAATCAACCATCCGAACCAGTTATATTGGTATCTCAGACAGAGCAGAGTGCCTAGATTTGACCCCAAACTGGCAACACCGCCCCAGCCACTTCGCAGCCAGCATGGTCACTTCTCACCACGTCCATCACACGCACGTTCTCACACCTAAAAAGCTTGGAAGCATCCGCTGGCAAGCACAACCTCTGAACCACGGGCTCCACAGCTCGCCCATGCGAGCACAGGCTGGATGGACCAAGCTCCGGAGAAGGTCCCATCAGGGTGCAGCCTGGGACCAGGGCACCTGACTTGGTCAGGATCTGTCCACCAACAGGTCCCCAAAGACGGCTGCTTCGCGCAGCCAGGTTTCTACTCAGCTACCAGCCTGTACTGCATCACAGGGCAGCTCATCCTCTGGTTTTCTTGCATAACCCCCCTCTTTCCATCAACCTTCATCCTTTAAAAAACTCTGCCCCTGGAAAAGAAGTGCTGCAGTGAGACTCGTATACAACAAACGCACAGGGAGGAAAAAGCTTTGCTCTATGGAAGAGGTGGGAACAGAGAAGAGGCCGGGAGGATGCAGGCAGGAACGAAGAGAAGCGGCTCCGTTCTGTGCCACGGAGAGAGGGGGAAAGGAAACTCTCTGGGCTGGGAGAAAGGACTCTGCTTGGAAAGCTTCCCCTCGCACAACCCTCACGTCAGCAATGCTCCTGAATTACAGGGGAGCTTGGAGAAAAACATGCGGACATCACATGTTGAAAACGCCATCTGAAAACGCTTCAAGACATCCTACCATTTCTCACTAGGTAGTAGCAACGTATATTGGCAGCTCCTCAGTATCTTTAAGGGAAAAGAGAAAAAGGCAGCAACATCCACAAATGGCAACATTCGCCCTCACTTTGTGCTTTCATACAGCGACTGATCCGATTAACACACAGAATTTCTCTTTAGATTTAGAAATTCTCTTTATAAATTACCATAACCTAAAAGCACTTTTTACTGCTTCTATCTGTCTTGAGAGGAAAAACATCCAGATTCACTAAAACCAATAACGAACGTAGTTAACGAGCATATACCACCAAGCGCCGAGTCCTCTTACAGACCGTGTCCATCGCATCCCACCTTTGCTAACAGGACAGGTGGACTTAGGCAGCACCGCTGTTAAAAAGTTCACAGTAACAACAGGGCAAACTCCAGCTCGTAGCAGTAACGAGCAGCAGGGGAACGGGTGGGAATTCCTGATTGCTTTTAGAGCTCTCATTAGTGAAGAAAATATCCTGCTGACCCACACTGCACTCCACTGCAAATACATTATATCTAATCAGGCAAATCTCCTGCATGTGAAATTGAAATTAGGCAGCCCAGGAGACCACTTCATTTCAGGACTCCTCGATTTTTATTTGGACTTATCTAATACAAAGATATACAAAAGTAGTCAACTCCAAGCCTGCCTGACAAGCACCTCAAGCAGGCAATAGTGCGCCTGAAATGACCACATCAAACCCCCCCAAGGTTTTCAGCACTATTGTATTTGACCTTTAATTAAAAAACACTTCTAGGCAACATCCAATTTTTGCTGCTCCCTTGAGTGGGTTTCCACTCTACAGGATTTGATGAATTTGAACCTTGTTTCATCCTTTCTGAAATTCTTCAAGGCATGAAAAGAACAGCATGTGGATTACATTTAGATACTTTTTGTTCTTGGTGCCAATTTACCATTGCTTGGCCCAGAAGAAATTGTTTAAAGGGTGATAAGGAAAAAAGCCATAAAGCTTCCAGTCGCCTGACTAGAATTCAAGGCAGAATAGCAGCATCTTCAGGGCTACCCAGGGGTCTCCAGAATAAATTACTGTTGGTGGACCTCAGTGCAACCATCACAACAGCTGCTGCCTTGCCAGCACCAAGCCAGGGTTATAGAAATGCCTTAAGTTAGGGCTACCTCTCAAAATCACGATGAGGACGAGGCAACAAGTACCAGCAATGTATATTCTACTGCTGCCAGTAGGAACTGATAATCAGCCCTTAGCTTTGTAAAAGAAAGTCCCAGGTCAAGGTCCTGGAGAAAAAGCCTTGGAGGTGGCCCTCCAGAACCAAGCTGAGGCACCTCTTTAGGGCAACCAAGGGGAAAACTGAGTTGCCAACAAAGCCATTTTGTGGAGAGAGAGAGGACTATTTTGCAGTGGAACCAATCCTGCACCTTCCACAAGCACTAATCCCTTCAACAAAAGCTGGAAGTAATAAAAAGCTATTCAGGATGCAGTCTGGAACAAATCTACCACAGCGTTTTTTCAGACAGTTAAAATATCTGTCAAGCTAGAAGGACACCAAATGCAGAGTGAAATCTGCTATGCATGCCTTTTACTTAAAAATACACACAGGGCAAATGGTCAAACACACGTGTGTACATGCGAGTGCCCTCTTCCCCCACGAGTGAGTTGCTCCTCGCAGCTACCAAGCCACTTAAAGCCTCCGTTGACTTCAAGAGCAGTTGTATTTTCTGGGCAGCCTTGAAAATTAGGCTAGATTTCCTCAACAGCCTCTCTGCCTGCACTGGAAAACCTTGGCCTCTGAAAATATATTTGTAACAGAGGCAAAGAAAATAAAAAAGCTTAAAAGGATACTTAACATCGTAAATAAAACAGCTCTAAAAGGTTTGCTTTAGTTTTAAATATGCAGGAATGAGAATGCCAAGGTTCAGTTTCCTGTGGAAGGCACTACAGCCATTTCCTGCCTCATCACATCATAATTAACATGCCAGGACAGCTGGACTTTATCAGAATTGTTTCATCAAAAAGCAACAACCTTTGAAGACTATGGCCTTTTGTTTCCATCAGTAAAGGCATAACCAGGCTAATTTCCATTGCTTATCCTTAATGATCACAGCTGTAATTTGTATGTAAATTATCAGTTAAATTGTTTTAGATCTGCAAAGCTCAAACCATGATTCAGGAAACACTTAAAGACTTCTTTCTCTTAAAGGGCAGCAACCAGGGACTCTTGTGAGGTCCTGGACTTCCCTAGGCTTTGCCCAACGCAGGCAGGAGAAGGTGGTAAAGGGCACTTGACCATTACACACCACTGCCTGCCACATGGCACGCTCAGGGAGGACTGAGACTACGCCTCAACTCCTCGTTCACTTTTCAGTCTGTCTTGCAACAGTTTCTTAAACTAGATGTGGCCTTTTGGACACGATTATAAAATCTAGAAGGGGAATGGCAAACAATACTGATGGGAAGGCTTAGAAGACCCTGGATACGCAAGCTTCAATGGTTTGCAAAAGCACTGTACCAAGTCCCACCCCTAACTTTCATACAGCTCTGATCTTGCCAAATCACAGCCCTCTTTCAGCAGCGTTGTATTAATCCAACTGAGTTACTATGATGCAACTTCTCATTGAAAACAGACTACTTGCAGGGATGCGGTGCCACGATCATTCTTCCAGCTCTTCCCGTCGAGCGCTCAGACATCGGGAGGAAGGCTGCGCTGCTCCCTGCGCCCGTCTGCAGCTTGCAAGAAGCCCCAGCAGTTTGTGGGCACCTTGTAAAAAGCAATCTCACGAGGACTTGTTTGTGCAACGCTCTGCTCGAGCAATCCATCTTCTTGCCGTTTCCTCCCTTCTACGCTGCAAGAGTTTGTTCTCTCCCCGCCATCCGAGACGTTTAAACGTTCACGCTCTAGAGGCATCTTTCATTTTGAGCAGGGAAAGTGTGACTGACCCCTGCTAAAGTACGCACCCCATCCCTGGCAGACGGAAATTGTCAATGGCCTTTCACCAGCTCCTGAATCAAGATTGATTAACAGTAGCTTAAAATGATAGCTCATATTACAAGAACATCACTAGTGTTACAGAAGACACCACGGGGTAGTTCTCCCTGTCGCGTGAAAGGGCAGGAATCGTTACCACGATGTTACAGAGCACAGTTGCCTTGAGATCGGGTCCTTTTCCTTTTTCTCGCTACATGCGCTTCCAAAATCCGTCCGTGCTCGCAGTGAATCTCCAAAGCCATCAGCACGGGTTAGAAGCACAACTGTCTTGGCTAACACCGAAAATATTGCAAGTCCTTTTCTGACCAACGCCAGTAAAGCTCTAAAGTGATAACAGACATAGGGATGTTTCCTAAAAGGAATTTCTACCCACGAGGCCTTTTCAGGGAAACACTAACGTTGCCTGGGTTTGTGGGTTTTGCCTAGACAACTTCTTTTAAAAGCAGTGTCCCTTTTCCAAACTCGCCAATTATCTTTGCCACCACATTCCTTTGTCAGAGCAGCCTCCAGCTGCTTAACCTCAGCCACTTCAAGCTGCACCTGTGAATCAGACCGGGTTAATCACACTAACAGATGGCAGGGGCCAAACAGGCAGCTAAGGACTTATATCATTTTAAATAGCATCTAATGTTTCACAGCTTCAGACCAGGGGCAGTCATATACAACAGTAACTAACTAGGGGAGCTGAAATCAGGCTCATACTTTATCATCTGAACAAGTGTTTCAAGCATACAGTATAGCTGCCAATTACTAATCAGGCTGAGGAGCAAATATACTACCTGGCTACTGCGTTCGGTAACTAGCTGACATCTACCATGAAGGATTTCTGTGTTCTGTGTGTTACTGACTTTACAAAGCACAAGCGACAGCAAACTACCAGTCACCGCGGGGATTTTGCAACAGCGCAGAAGGGCATAAGGAACCAATATGAATTTTACATTTTTTTTTCTTAGTGACTGCTCTATTTAGAGCCTATTAATAGCTTTCCAAATTCTCTAAAGGGACTGAAGTTTAACATTCAGATAGGTTTAAGACTCTTTTAGCCCATTTTCATCATGCATAAGTAATATAAAATGTGGTTTTAGTGCTGGATTGCTTTCTTCGTGACAAACCTTGAGGTGCTTTGCAGACAAAAGAACCTCATTGTCTCCAAATTCATTCTCCCGCGGGAGATTTCTGCCGAGATTAAGGATTGAAGGATTTGCCTCATTACAACTTAATTTTATTTTTAAAGTTTCCATACCACCTTTTAACAAAGTGAGCTGGATCTCTGTTTCTTCTGTTAAATTTCAGCTCAGGTTCAGGGAAAGTTAGTTCATCTGCGAGAGTCTAAACCAGACAAAGACTGAACTTCAACTCAGGAAGAAAGGAAACCGCAGAAAAGCTAGCGAGAAGGGAGAAAGAAAGTACAGACCAGTAAAGCATGTTTAGAAGAATATTAGTTTATTTTTCTTTTTCTTTTCCAAGTTACGAACTATGTGAAACAGAAAATGGAGAAGGACAAAGATACCACTATTTGACAGCCCATGCAGTTAACAATCAAGAAGCTCTGAAGGCAGGAGTGCAAAAGACGGGACATTATTTTCCACGTGGATCTTGCTAGTGACTTCTGGCAGTTCGCTGTTACTTACTCATCTGGTTGCTGTCATTCACAAAGTCCTCGGACCCATCATTGTCATCTTCATCATCCCCAGAGGAAAGAGCATCTGCACATTAAAAATAATCAAGTCTTTAAACCAGCCTATTTTTACAGACAAATAAACCAAAATGCTACATCTTAGATTATCTATCAAGGAGAACAGATGTTATGTTAGTTGTGCAGAAGCTATAGAAAAAGAAAATCCAGCCACAAAATGTGTGTTATTCTTATAAAATTCTAACAAAACTAGCTAATAATCCTGAAATGCTACAAAGTTTCCAAAGGGAGCTTGCTAAGTCCAAAAATTTCCTTCCACTTACGATTTTTATTTTTCATAAAGACATTCAGTTGAACAAAATTGAGTGTCTCCAGAACAATTTATCTCTAAACTTAAAGGATGTAGGACACTCCTTTTCCTCTTCTGATGCAGGGGGAAAAAACTTGTATTCATTTTACTGGCTTTATCATCATCACAGCAACTCTATAATTTAATCCTGTCATGAAACAGAGGGCTATTCAGCAGCTGTTAATCACTATAGATCTCATGAAGTAAAAGGAGTGTACACAAACTGAATCCGTTTCAGGGTCAGGACAAGGGGGAAAATACCTGAAATAACTACAGAACTCAGCTCAACTCGCTGCGCCTGAGCGGACTGTTCCACGTTATACCATAATGTGTCTTTATATCACATTTTAAAGCTTCTACATGCAAAAACCTATGTTTATCTCACTCACCTGTAACATTTACAATGAAGTACAGAGTATCACTGTCTAGGGTCCTAACAGCAGTGCAAGCATAGAGGCCCGAATCTCTGGGTGTAGCATCCTTAATTTGTAAGTACTCCCCAATAATCACTGTCCTATTGTCGGGCCCCAAAGGGACCCCATCCTTAGTCCAACTGATCATGACGGCGTCTTTCAATTGACAGCGCAACTCAAGCGGTTCTCCTGGAAGTGCTGAATATACATCTGGCTGAGAGATTTGGTATTTGGTTGGCGGCTCTGCGAAGGTGGAAGGAAAGGAGGAAAAAGGAGAAAAAGAAGGGAAAGGAGAGAATTTCCAACAAAAATCAGTGAAGGCCCTTTTCATCCACAGGAATCAAGTCATGTTAAATAAAAAAGTTTCATCCAGATTAGCCCAGCAATCCGTCTTGTAAAACTGAACCACATGCAGGTATGGGATAGGCTTTATTTTCAAGAAGTTAACCACAAAGAAAGCTCGTTCCCTTTTGATCGGTGTCTCGGCATGTGCCTCGTCCCGAGTGCCACGCCAAGGCACAGCCCTTCTCGCTGGTCACAGGCGAGTGCTGCTGAGCCTGGGGGCTTCAAAGAATTTGGAGGAGGCAGGAGGAGTTCAAAAAGCACATTCAGTTTTACATCCTAGCATTTGGGTGTCTGACTCAAACGAATATTTATCTTTCCCCATCTGATTTTATAAGTTGCTTTTTTTCTTTTTTAAACCTGAAAAGAGCTGTGTTGGAAGAAAAGGATGGCCAAAATACCCCTCACTAAGCTAATAAACATGAGTTCCCCTACACAGCATAGATGACGTCCTTCATTTTTCTCCCCGCACCCTTCCCAAAGTCTCTACATTCTACAGTGCCAACTCTGCTCCCAGTGACAGTAACCTTTTCCTTTAATTTTTTTTGCTTCATTTCTTGCTTCACAGCCTCTCCTGAGCAGAATACAGCAGAAACCCGGGAACACAAGCGAAGCTTTCAAAGTCACAGCATACACAGAAGTTCAAAACGAAATGCCTCATCCATCTATTGTAACCAAATAACGAGAAGAATGTCAAACCACGGTCTTTCCAAAAAAAAAAAAAACACCTGCCTATAGTTACTAGAGCTTCACCACCCCCTTCCAAGGCCAGCTCTCAGCAGGGGGAAGGGAACCCTCGGGAGCATCTCCCAGGGGCAGCGGGATGGCTCGGCACAGGTGAGGGACCTCCCACGCCACACCTATGACACACACGAGCCGTGCCCAGTATAGGGACTGCTTTTGTAACGGCTTTCTCCCTACAACCACGGTATCCCTCTCCCACGGACCTCGCCAAGGCCGGCATGAAAGGTAAATAAGGGAAAGCAGCGTGAAGGCATCTTCTGTTTGCTCACGAGGAGGGTCACATCGCACAGACAGCTGCTCTCCAGCACACATCCTTCCCCGCACAGGCACCAACTGTGCACCACTCTGTGCATATATAAATAAAACACACACCTCTGTTTGCTTGGGAGTCTGAGGGAATATTAAAATAGGCGACTCCTCGGTGTCCACCCTTGCTTCTAAGAATACCGAAACCCTGGAACTCGTGTTCCTCGCCCTTGGGGCACGGCGTTGTCACTCCTTGTATCACCCCTTCAACAGAGAAGTCTGAAACAAGCGTCACATCTGAGCTAGCCTGTGGACGGGAGTTTGGAAACGCTGAAGCTCTGCCAGTAGTTTAGATTTAGGTAGTCCTGCGAGGAGCAGGGAGCTGGACTCGATGATCCTTACGGGTCCCTTCCAACTCAAGATGTTCTGTGATTCTGTGAGTACCAGAAGTGGCCATCACAGCGGGACACTCATGCATTTAAATATTGGGTTATACTGATGCACCTGAAAATAGCGTGCCCAATTTCTCCTCCCACTCATCCTGGAATCATGTAATTTCAGGGAGTTCAGTGGGAGTTTGCCCGAAGCAAAGGGAAAACAGATCCAGGGATGTGAGCTGGCAAAGCAAGCAAAGCTTCTCCTGGCTTTTTCCCTAGGGCAAACATGGTTTTTTCAAACCATTTGACACATGCATCACACCAAGATGGTGGCCAGGAGAAGTACATAAAACCATCTAAACAAGATCAATTATGAAGACTGGATTCTTAGGTTTGATAACAAGGTCTCTAAACTTTCTAGCATGCAAAGTTCCATCTCAAAGGCTAGGACAAGCTACAATACAGCGTTATACTCCTTATAAACTAATTCAGTCAAGAATCCACAGATCTGCAATGCAGGTGTTTCACTGAGCACTACACTATGCTGTTAGAAATCTAATTTCCAGAAGGAGCACGGGCTCCTTTCTATGTATATTTTGTAACAGCAATGAGTATATTTGAGTATGCTTGAGATTTTTTTTAATTCAGATTCCACTGTCAAATAAAATAAAAAAAAAAAAAGTAGGTGAAGCCAGCTAGCTAATTTACTTTGAAGTTTTTAAGACTTCTTTGTAACACTCTACCTGCAAAGAAAATTTCTTTTACAGAGTTTATGCCGTGCCAACAATGTACAGCAGTCTTTAAAAATGTCTTTGTTTAAACTTTTTAAAAGCCACTGTGGGTGAAGACAACTCAACCCTCCTTGAAGTGCATTAGCGGCTTTGACTGAAGAGCCCCAGGAAACTCGCAGGATGGTCACACAGTTGCAGTGTCCTCCCGGGCAGGAGGTTGTTCACATACAATTACAAGGAAAATAATCTTCTACCTCCCATCCTTGATTTCATCTCTTTTCAACTATTATCCCCAAATTTACACTGCGTCTTTCAACACAAATCCAAATCCAAACTCAAGAACAGTAATTTATTTCAAAATTACAAAAAAATTCCTTTTACAAGGAAAAGTACTAGTACGCTGAAGAAAAACGAGTTTCAAATAGGTATTAGCATTTGGTAAATATTACCCTCCTCCACTTCTTCCTCCCTAGAGTATCAGGGAAGATAGAGCACAAAGTGTTGTCATGAAATAATGTAGTCATGTTTGGAAATAGTGAGTTATATCAGGTAAGCCTTTGTGTTGCCAAACTAGAATGTAGCAGCACTTAAGACTGTCACTTTTTATAATGTTTGCCTATAAACTTTTTCCAGTGTGGGTTTGAAATGGTGCCCAAAAGCAAACAGAGAACAGGTGGGATTCTGAGGCATGAGTCCGCCCAACCACTTCACTGCGAAAATCAACCAGTTTAAACTGTTAAAAAATTCCCGGCAGCACATAAACAACCTAGGCTGCAAAGTTAACTCTCTCTCCAGGACACTGCACAAAGATTTTTACACCGCCCTGAAATTTAGGGACAAATTTTGAACTCACGTGCACGCTGTACCATCAAATCAATGGTTCCCTTGAGGCTGACATCAGGATGATTTCCCCGCTTCTGCCTTTTGAGCGTAGCAGAGAAATAATGCTGCAAGTTTGCTCGGCCCTCACTTGTTCCCACCCTCCAGTGTTTTCAGCAGCATCCTCCTGAATTTTCCCTTAGTGAAAACAGCTAGATGGGAGAAGGAGGAGATAGCCCTGCAGAGCCTGCACCACCAAGCAAGGCTTGATGATCTGGTATCACCTTCGTGCTCCTCCAGCCCTCTCTGAAGCTCTGCCTGGAAATTGCACCCTTCAGCCATCACCACGAGCCTGTCCATCAGCCCTTTGCTGGGCGAGCTCTGCACGGCCGAGGGAAGGCGGCGCAGGGTGCCTTTCTAAGCGAGTTCTCCTGCAAATCCTATAATTGTGGCATTAGTTCCTACTGCAAAGGTGCATTAACTGATGTGAATAACACCTGTCTATCACCCCTTAAAAAACAAGCAAGCAACAAAGGCATGTGTAAAATTTCTGGTGGTGTTCTTCAACACTGGGGGACAAAGGAGGGAATGTTCCTTCTTCTATTGTCTGCTCTCCACTACATCCTTATTTGTAACAGTGGTGCACACAATGTATTTTGACTTTCTAGGTGGAGCTATTGAACAATACCGCCATGGAAAACCAAGTTGCCGTTAAATAAACAGACGTGAACTTTTTCTTTGCCTGCTCATACAGTCTCGCAGCATGGTTTATGCCATCCAGCCATCAAATGGAGTAAATAATGTTTGTATAAAAACCACGACCACAATAGAGGACTGGGGACATTCCAAATGTGCTATTTCAGATTATTATGAGATACGCAATTATATTCCAAATCATGCTTCTATTCAAGATTCGGTCACTGAAACGAGAGATTTATACTTCCTTAGGTTTTAAATTATTATTATTTGCCTCCATTTATTAAAATGTTAACAAAGAGCTGCTTATCTTAAGGCTCAAGGCATTTAGTTACTTAGTTACAGAGCCAAATAATTAAACAATCAGCTAATAGCTAACCCCAGCAAAGATTCTCACACAACCTTCCATAACACAAAAGCCTCAGACCCCATCAAGCCACTTTCCCTTCAAAAGGTTTTAGTAAATAACTAAACACTCACCATAGCGTGCCCAGAAGGGTCAACGGACCTGACCTGTCAAGAATCCAAGAGCTTCATTGCAAAACTGAATGTCCCCACGGGGAACGCCAGGCTGCCAACCACCACCACTCCTCCTGCTTCTCCTACCCCTTCTCCTGTTTCTTCTGTCATTGAGGAAGATCCAGCAAGACCATGCTGGATGAGCGACAGGGAATGGGGATGCCAAGCCATGCCTGAAGCAGAATAGCCATGGGCCCCATGACTTTGTGAGTCAAATCCAAGCCTTTACGCTCTCTCCAGGAGGCAACCTCTGCAGGATCAGGCAGCCCAGGTATCATCAGTCAGGTTTGCAACCTTGCCTCCCACCTCCCAGCTACAAACTGATGGGCTTCTCCCTCAATTTCAGTTGGCAGGCTCATATTAAGAGTAGCTCCATGGCCTCTTCTGATGATGGATGATAAACTCATCCTACAAAAGAAATGGCCACCGGTTTAAAAATGCAAAGAGTCATTCCTGGCCACTATGACTATCTCCCGTTAGCTAACGGCAAACCAAAGCCACAAAGGCTAAGCACGTCTCCTTATACAAAGGGGGACAAAATAGCGTTTGCAATTCATCCATCTGCTTCTCCAGAGTCACTGGATCCCTGCTGTCTTATTTGTACTGCATTTCCATCAGCGAGCCGCCAGCTATGCCCAGCTCTGCCTCCGCCAGGCATAATCAGGAAGTCTCTCTGTTCTGATAAAATACTTTCCTTTCCAAGTCACTAAAGTTCCTTCTATAATTTTAAAGCACAAAAAGTTTTTTTTAAAAATCCTTTGTCACTGTG